TTAGTAATACTGTATCATTTTTAAATATTATTTCTAGATTACCTATATTAAAATCTCTACAAATCTTGAAAGACCAAGTACATGCTATTAACTATTCCTACAATAAATACTGCAACTTAAAGAGAAACACACCTACCAGTTCAGAACTGTATTGACCTGGAATACTATAATGGTGAATTGTCTATATCACCAACTGTCAGACTTAAATGGGAAGTTCTAAGAAAAAGATGCCGTATATAATACTGTTATATAGCTCAAGTCATCACTTCTTTGGTATATAAAGAAATCATCAAATTTCTGCCTTACTTCTCCACTAAACAGGGGTCAATATTTTAGACAATTGAGACTTAACAAAAACTTTACAAGGCTGATTGGCTTATAATATGTATAAATACCTGTTGGCATGTGTCTCTGGTTTGTCATGGACAAACAGACAATGGCATCTGGTTGGCATTCGCTGCCTGAAGTGCAGGGAATCCCTTTCATTTATGGCTTCATTGTGAATTCCGTTGTTCAAATTGACCTTCAGCTGGAGGATTTGCAGGTGACTTCCATATAGAAAGCACTTGTTAAATATTATTTGGAAGTATTCTACCCATCATTGATTTTGAACTTTTCTGATATCAGCTATCTGACAGACTGAAGGCAAATTAGAAGATTGAGTTTATAGACCATCAGAAGAATTCCATCAGCAACATAAAAGGCAGAAAACCTGAGGTGAGTCTCCGAAAAAAGTGAAATGTTTGCAGCATTCCCATTTCCTCTATTTTGAAGGGGTGGGGGAAAGACAAAGCATAGGGCCTCTATCAATGTCACTACCCCATTAAGACACAAACAGGAAAAGGGATCTTCAGTATCCACTGGTGGACTCAAATGGTGACCATCAGCAGTCTTAATAAAAACAGCATTTTAGAATATATCTCAGAGGTTTCTTAGGATACAAAATGTTTTTAAATGATAAGCATAATCTTTACTAGAAGTATTTTCTAAAAAAACCTCAAATGTTTGCAAATTCAATGTTTTTAAAGAGATTCATTAAAAACTCCATAGATTAATTTTTTTTAAATCTTAAAAACAGGCCATTTCTTAACTAATAACCTAAGGATTTGCATGCAAATACCAAAGTGGAAAAAAAAAATAAGAGGAAGAAAACATGGCATTTCATGCATTTTTAAAAATGTAATAAAGTCCTGACCAGTGTGGCTCAGTTGGGTAAGCTCAGTTTCTGGCACCGAAAGGTCACTGGTTTGATTCCCAATCAGGGCACATGCCCAGGTTGCAGGTTTTATCCCCGATCGGGGTGCTTACTGGAGGCAGCCGATTGGTGCTTCTCTCTTACATTCATGTTTCTCTTTCTCTAAAATCTCTTTTTAAAAAACCATATTAAAATAAAAAGGAAGTTAATTTTTTTAAAAATGTAACAGAAAGACTGGTTGCCCTGTATAATATGTAAGTAGCCACAAGAACAAAATGTCTGCTACAATTTTATAGTGTTAATTGCAGAACATATATTATGATTAAATGAATGTAAAGGGGGAAACCAAAACAGAATATAAATATTTGGCACTTGTCTGGTTGCTTTAGCTCTGATGTTATAAACAAGTGGCCTTTTTGTGGTTTATTTAGTGCCACGTTTTTCACACTTTTGTGCTTTTCTTTTTTATCCTCGCCCAAGAATATTTGTTCCCATTGCTTTTCAGAGAGAGAAGGGACAAAGGGAGTGAGAGAAACATGGATGTTAAAGGGACACATCAATTGGTTGCCTCCCACAGGAGCTCTGACTGGGGCAGGGAGGGAACCCAGGTATGTACCTTTAACCAGGAATCAAACCTCAGACCCGATACTCTAACCCAGTGGTTGGCAAACTCATTAGTCAACAGAGCCAAATATCAACAGTACAACGATTGAAATTTCTTTTGAGAGTCAGATTTTTTAAACTTAAACTATATAGGTAGGTACATTGTTATTAATGTAATTAGAATACTCCTAAGCTGGCCTTTGCTAAACATTCAAGGGGCCAAAGAGCCACATGTGGCTCGCGAGCCACAGTTTGCTAACCAATGCTCTAACCACTTGGATACTGGGCACTTTTGTACTTCTTGTTGGTGACTCACTGTGCTACAGGTCCCAGAGCACAGAGCTGTCGTGTGATCTGGTGTCCCCAGAATGTGGGGCTGTGACGTGCCTTATGGAGGTGACATATGTTGGTGCACTTTGTTCAGGCCTGAGTTTCAGGGTGTTGGCTGTAAATTCAATGTTAATGAATCAACCATATACTAGTAGATTACACAAGGCGCTTTAAAACACAAGCGTACATAAAACAGGATTATTTGTTGATGGGCTGATGAAAATGTCTGGATCAGAAGCTCATAGGAACCTAAGCCTGTTTCTCCCTTGGGAGCAAGTGCAGCATTGGCTAATTCGGTGTTTGCATAAGCTTTGTAGAACACAACTATGGTGAATAGTAAAAATCCCAATCGAAAACTAGCCCCTTCATGTTTGCATTCATATTTCAGTAAAAAAAAGAAAAAAAGAAAAAGAAAAAGAAAAAAAAAAAACTCTCCTTCTGTCATTTCCTTCAAAGATCATCAGTAGAGACAGAAGCGCTTGGCCTTCATGCTAACAGGTCACGGCCACGTATGTTTCTCTTTGCACAGAAAAGTAATCTCTCTTGAAAGCAGTCTGGTTTTCTTTCCAATGTGAAAGTCGAAGGGGCACTGTTTAAACATGACTCTTCTGTGAGATTATGGTTTTGAAAACTAGGTTCTTTAAAATAACACTGACAGTACGAGCAATGACAATAAAAACGCGGCAAAGGAATTTTAAAATAGCAGCACAAATTGGAACAGAGCTTACCTTTCTTGCCCAAGTCAGATAGTTTATTGGAGAAAGAAAAGAAAGAGATTACAGTACTTAACAATCCAAACAAGGACAATTCAGGGGTGAGAGAAAGAAAACCTGAAAAAGCCCATTGTCTCCAGGAAATTAATACAAAAAAAGGGAGACCCAGGAAAGAGTTTATGGCCGAATGCACTACTTTCATGATAAACACACACACAGAGCACATCTCCATCAAGGGAAACTCAATCACCTTTTTACAATTTAGAGAGGAGAGGAGGCTCTTACCATGGCTAAGCCATGTATCATCAATACCATGAAGCTAGCCTATCACTTGTAATAGCTTCTATAAAATACCACAGTGAGACTGCAATAAGCCTAGAAAATGGGCTACAAATCCCAGCTATGCTCGGGCAAGCAGTGAAGCCAAAATAAAAATAGTTAAACTGAACCAAGACCTGGAGCGCATTCATCCCAATTCATGACTGGTAAGGCAGAGTTCACAGGCCAAGGTTTGAAAGTGACGTGTTCGGATCCAAAAGACAGTCATTATACTAAATAAAAGCATTTATGTAATTCGGGGAGGTGGGGGAGAGGTCATAAATTCTCAAGGCACAGGACATAGCTCAGAAAAGCTTGCTTACATACATAACACTACAACATTGTACCTCTAAAACATCGCGTTAAACATGCAAAGATAAAGAGACGCAAATGGGCACTTGGTCGTTTGCGGTCTCCCCAGTTTAGACAAATAATCTAAAAGATGCCCCATGTTTCAGATTGGAACAACTCTGGGTATAAAGGCGATGCCAGCTTCAAGTTTCTTTTCCATCATCCTATTGAAGTTAGCCATGAAATGCTGCATTCACAATCCACGCAGTCATATAAAAATATATGTATTCAATCAGTTGTCATCAATTATTGGAACATAACAAAAATAGTCATCATATTTATATATATATATTTCATATAGTGTCTAAATTCTGCCATCAGCAGAGCTGTCACTCCGTTTCCCCTCTGTGAGGTGAGAGCGAGCTCATGCAAGTACTTCTGACACAGTGACACATGCGGTCTGTCATTCTAAGGACATGCACGCAGCTCTCACTTTGAAACATGACAACATGATTCAGAGTCGTTCAGCGTTTGCTGAAATACCAGCTTTCACATGATTTCAATACGCTCTGACTGAAAGGATCGTTGGGATGGCTTTCAGGGATTGGGCATAGCGCATAGTTTAAAAGGTAATAGTAAATAATTCTGCTATCACACACTAGTTATCACAGTAACTAATAGTAAATAATTCTGCTAGCACACCCTGGTTAACACTAGGGTGACCAGACAGTACAATGAATACCATAGTATAAAATACAATGAGTTTTCCATACAGAGCACATTATCCACGTAGGAAGCAAACTTAAAATACAAACTCTGGCAAAAACAAGCAATCTCACCTACTACTCATCCTAGCCCTTGTTAAAATACTCTGAGTTAAAAGGCAGATACTTGAAACAATGCTGGTGATAGGCGATTTCTCTAAAAACGACCCTCAAACGTGAATGTGTGGCCATTTTTATTTACAACAGTCGGATCATGTAGAAATGAGCTCTTAACCATCAGTCACGACATACACATTGAGCAATACTGATGTGACATTCAGACATTTTTTTAATTCTCTAGCTTTTGTCAGCAGTTTGGCAAAGCAGGTGATACATGAATGGTTTCGATATTTTTAAAAGTCATAAAAGAGAAAAATATATAAAAATGTACAGTAGTTTCTACCCACCCCGGGCCCGCCTAGGTCCCTAGACAGCCGTCCAGCCAGGCTCGCTTCTGACTACAGGCAGATCCCAGGCCTCCGGCAAACAGCCCCATCTCGCCATCAAGGGGGCTCCCAGTCACTGGAACTCCTCCAGGGAACAGAACAGGAGCCAGGGTCCCTCGGGTGCCATTCCCCAGATGCTCAAAACGCAACTAATTTATTAGCATTAGCAGATTTGGTCTAGAGGGGAATCTCACTGGTCCAGTTTGGAGCCTACAAAAAAATGGATTGTTTTTAAGTATGGCATCGGAATACGAATAGGGGAGGAGGCTGTGGCTTTTATTCCACAGAAATGGATGCGTTTCCAAACATGACAAACACTCAGACATAAAGGCATGCCTACCATTGAAGGAGGGGTCCCTCCGGACTTTTTAAGATTCTTGGAAGGCATTCCACGGAGGCGACTGAGTCTAGCTTGGAAACCTGGAAAATCAAACACCCAATTTAGGAGATCCTGTGATCACAGGAGCAGAGGACTAGATCCTGTCAGTTCTAGAAGGAAAAAAAGTTGGAGCAGGGAAAAACATCTCGAATGGAAGTGGGGGGAAAAGTCGAAACTCATACTTAAAAAGAGTGGAATGAACGGCAGGTCGGATTCCAATGTGGTGAGCACACACTACCCACTATTTACATATCAGGGTATTTCTCTCCCTTCAATCCCCTTTCTATCACCCCAGTGTGTTCACCATGGGCCTTTGTAATGAAAGCAAGAACATTAGGTTCTTTCATGCCCATTTCAGCCTTTCCTCTCTCAACGACTAGCCCTGGACTGACAAAGCCCACCGTATCCGACGTGCTACTGACCTCTTCTCCCGGGATGCGACATGAGGGGGAAGGAACCCGTTAGGATGCTTTCAAAGACGGGGTCTGGCAGGTGTCTGTCCAGCTCGGCGGGATCTTCCTTCTCCCACCAGGGAATGACCCCCGTGATGCCACACGCTCCTCCCGAGTCCTTTTCATAAAACCAGTCGCTCTGCTCATCGTCACCTGTGCAAACATGGGAAACACCCCAGAGACTCAGCTGTGTCATCCCAACAGGTTAACGCTTAAAAAGCACAAGACATCAATGAAATTTGAATTTCAGATAAATGATTACTTTTTTAAAAAAAATTTTTTTTAATTGATTTCAGAGAGTTATTGAGAAGTGGAGATAGAAACATCAATGATGAGAGAGAATCACTGATCGGCTGCCTCCTGTATCCTACCTGCCTCCATCCCTCCCCTCACTGGGGATTAAGCCTGCAACCTGAACATGTGCCCTGACTGAGAATTCAACCTTGAACCCTGACTTCCTTGTTCATAGGTCAACACTCAACCACTGAGCCATGCTGGCCGGACAGTGATTACTTTTTAATATAAATACAGGGTATGGCAAAAGTAGGGTTACAGTTGTGAGTACAAAAAGAAGTTTAATCTTGTATTATTATTTATTAATTGTTGTATTATTTCCCACATAAACTGTAAACCTACTTTTGCCCACCCTGTATATTGTACTTGTACCGAATTTTTAGTCAAAATACTGCATGGGACATGCTTATTTAAAAAAATAATTTGTTATTTATCTAAAATTCAAATTTAACTAGGGATCCTGTATTTCACCTAGCAATTATATAAATAGCCTATAAAAAAAAAAAAAAACCTCAATTTTTCATCCTATCCCACAGCTTTACTTAAAAAATGTCTTTAACACTATAACAAGAATTGCCATCAACAATTACATATAAATAAAATGTTATGTGTTAGAACCAATGTAAAAAGTTAATCACTTGGCAAAACTGTAGGGAAATCCAAGGCAGTGACTACCCGTCCCACATTAAGGAAAAGCAAGCCTTAATCGCCTGCTGAGAAGGAAAAGATGTTAAGACTGTAGTTTGTTCTTTGCAGCAAATAATTGTGTGTATTAGCTTCATCTCATGATTTCTATGGAGTGGAAAAGGGGAAACAGTCATGAACAGATGTGACTAAGTGAAATTAATCTGATTAAGCTCATTAGGAAATGGTTGTGAAAAAGTTGATTTTAAATGAAAAGTGACAGTGCCACAGAGTTTACAGTAAAACTACAATGGACTACAGCAATGTATTTATAAAACACAACACTTCAATGTATAGTCGAGAACATCCATGAGGATAATGATGGATCAATGTAAATTCAACTTGAAATGTGCCAAATATGTGAATCAACAGTATTTTATGTGTGTGTGTGTGTGTGTGTGTGTATTTAAAAACAATAAAGAAATGTATAAAAAGACAATAAATGCTAGCATAGTCAGTGCTTTTCAATGATTGGTAGGTTTATCAAAATGTTACTTTAAAAGTTTTTTCCATTTAATTTCATTACTGTAGTCAACATTTATAACATAACTTTGGGGAAATGTGTATTTTAATAATAACTTCGGTATATCTTAGCCCCAAGGTTCTACCATATTTCAGCAGAATCTTAAGTTTAAAAAAGCCATGGTCTTTAAAACAGTTACATAGCTATTTATCTAGGACTAATGGCTCATAAATAAGCAAAACAGGATTATATAATAATAATTTAAAGCACTAAATTTCATTGTTTTCCTTGGAACTTACTAATTTCCTCTAAAGACTGTCAGGAAATGAAGTTAACATTCACGATTAAGTATTTGCATGTACACCTGCTGTTTTTTCCCTTCCAGAACAGGTAGTTTCACAATAATGCCCCCGGAAATTTCAAAAATAAAAAAGATCTACGTGATGAAACATTCCTGTTTAGCGGTTTACAATATTGAGCGTATGAAAATTGTCTAATCACAAACTAGACAGGACGCGTAAATGTCACAGCTGAATAAAAATGACAAACGACTTGCACATCCAACCTCAGAAATGCTTAAACAGACCGAAATACATTCGAATCAGGAGGGGCGTGGGGACCAGTGTCTTGTGAACTTGTTACAAGAGACACACGGAAAGACTGTAGGGCTTTCTCAAGGAAGATAATCCTCCCATAATACTATTAATAGCTCCATATTCTGGCTTTTGGGATAATCAATTATTTCAGGTCATGAAGATAGGATGCTCTCCTCCAGTCAGTAGGTGTGTAAGGTACAAGGATCGCAGTCAACTTAGGAAATAACACATCCTCCGAAAATAAGACCTACTTATAGGTTTCCTTCTGAGTGAAATATAAGGCATCCCCCCCAAAATAAGGCCCCCCCCCCCCCCGGCTAAACATGAGAGATTTGGTCCACTGATTCTGAAAGAAATGGAGTCACAAGAAATTCACCAGGAAATTCAGGAATTGGATTGTTATAATGATGTTCCAGAAGATGATGACATGATTGTCAGTGAATAAATGAGTAAATTCTTACTGTAGGATTCACAGTTTGTCTGGTTTGTGTTGACAACGACCGTACTACCGTACCATATATAGGTAATAAATTTCCTTTATTTTCATTTAACAATAAATGTGTACCGTATTCTTCTTCATGGAAAAATAAGACATGCCCTGAAAATAAGACCTAGCGCATCTTTGGGAGCAAACATTAATATAAGACACTGTCTTATTTTCGGGGAAACAGGGTAATAAGCAAAACTTGACAGTGAAGGCGTTTTCCCAGAGAGAAAAACAATGACATTTCAGTACCTTGCCTTCCCTCATCGTTGGTAAACAGGCCAGCATCCGTGCTGCTGAGGCTGCTGGAGTCGCTGCAAAGAGGGAAAAGAGGAAAAAAAAAGATCAAAAGAACAATTGATCTCCCGCTGTAACATTTTAAAGAGCCCTGGCAGCTCAGGGGTGGAACTGGATGGAGCCTGACAAGATCTGAAAGGAAACGAGGTGATTTTTTAAAAATATCCAACTGCAACTATCTCGGTTCCATTCACAATGGAGCATATTATTTTTGGCACATAAAACCCCAGGAATATAATGGGACCCTGTCAGTAAGCCAGATGTGACTGCAACGAGGTGCTGACATAATGGATGTGTTTTATTATCTGCTTTCATCAAATGCTCACCACTGCCTGCTCAGGCCATGCGATGAGGCCTGAGCCAGAACGCCAGAGCTCAACACAATACGCAAGTCGCACTCAAAGTCAGCCTGAGCCTCTCCCCGCACCTGACATGCAAGGGCTGGGGATGAAATGACTTTTCACAACCACATCTGCAAAGATCTTGGAGAAGGCATCATCACTGAAGAGTTCACAACAACTCTCCTACTTGGCAAAGAAGAAAAAAGTTGACCGCAGAAACAATCCCTTACATCAAAGTTAGGGTCCTCTGAGCAAACACTGAGCAAAAAGGAATATTCCCACCAGAAAGGAGGGAGTAGGCAAAAATAGCAGGTTCTCATGACTTCTGCTGAAGTTTGAGAATATCAGAGGCAAAACGAACATACAAATTAAAACAGTGGACATTCAGATGACCTGAATAAACTGTCACTGTTTGTCCCAATACCAGCAATGCTTATGTGATAATATAGTTTAAAAAACATACAAAACAAGCCACATGATAGGAGAGGTTAGGCTTATAAATTGAATGAAATTCTTTAATTCTTAATTTACCAATAAGAAAATTACCCCCCCTCAGCTGATCCAGTAACCCCTAGAATTCGATAACCTAACTTATTTAAAAAAACAAACATCCCAATCAGTTTTAAATTATTTAAATTGATATATTAGGATTAAAATGGTAGGTGATATTTAAATCCAAACATTTTCTGATTATAAAATATTTCAATTTTTTATTTTAAAAAATAAATGTAAACATTAAAAAAAAAAAATAGGTGACACATTTTCTCAAGGAACTCTGAATTAGTACCTTTCCCTCTTTCTTCAAATTCAGAGAATCTATGGAGCTCCCTGTACTGCACAAATTTTAATGAAAAAAAAAATAAGTTTTTCTAAGAGCATCAAATGCATGTTTTCTTATTTACAAACATATATACTCCTCTCTCTAAAATATATTCTTACCGATTTCAGAAAGGAAGGGAGAGGGAAAGAGAGAGAAACACCAATGATGAGAATCATTGATTGGCTGCCTTCTGCATGCTTCCTTCTGGGGATTGAGCCCGCAACCCAGGGATATGCCCTGACCTGGAATCAAACTGTGACCTTCTGGTTTATAGGTCTATATGCCCAACCATTGAGTCACACTGGCCAGACTCAATTCTTATTTATAAATTAATTCCTAGGACATATATAGCTTAAAAAGCTTTGGAAGTAGTTTCAAAAACACTAGCTTTTAAGTAACAAGAAAAACAGTTCTAGAAGAAAGTTTAAATTAAAAGAAAAAAAATTTTGTTTTATTTATTCAAGAGTGGAAACATCCTCTATGAAAATGTGTACCTTGACTGTGGGTGGCTGGGTGGCCTTATTACACCTTAGGTATTCAAATGCTTTTTACAATGAAGAGAAAGAGTTTCATCTCATTTCTCTCCCAGGGTAGATGTATCAATAAAAGGCGGACATCAATAAAAGGAGGGGCTTGCACAATCAATCCAGAAAGCGGGCAATCTGTGAATAATCCAGAACCTAGTACTTATCTCCTCTGCCACATCCTCCCAGCCAGTGAGCAAGATAATTATTCTCAAGTCAAGCTAAGCGCCCCCCCCCATTCATCCCCCCAACCCTCTCCGTCACAATGGCCCAGTGCTGACATACAAAGCATACAAATAATTCTTGCTCTGGTCTCTGGTGTAAAACTGACAACTTTCTTGGAAGAAAAGCAGATACTGTACATTTCTCAAAGTCTTCCAGAAACATTTTTTAAAGTAATTTTTACTTCTTTAGAAAAATTGCATACAAGGTAAGCCATCTGTAATAAAAAGCCCATTCTATAAAATTTTACCAGATCCTACTCATATCTGCAATCATAATCATATTTACAGACAAATATATATTCTATGTACATAAATATGATAAAAATCCACATGATAAAAATGCCAGTCCTACAAATTAAAAAAATCAAATACTTCTGCCCAGACCATTTGTAAGGAATGTTTTTTTTGGCATCACAATTCCGCATTTGGTTTTGAGGACACAACTGAAAGGATGAATAGTGTCAATACTTTCTCATTTCCTGCCAGTAGCATTAGTTCTGTGTAACAGAAAAATGACCACTTACCTTTGGATGCTGTTAAAATAGGACTAAGCGCTGTGCTTTACCTTCTTTTCAGCATGGATGGTTTAGACCAAGCATGTCAAACTCGTTAGCCTTTGAGTTTGACATGCTTTGTTTAGACTAACCCTCAGATCACTGCTTTTCTCCTTTGCCTAATGACAAGTTCAGGAGTTCCAGATGGTGAGGTGGGCTTTACAATTCATAAGCGATCAGAATTCCTAGCAAGCTAGCCTTAACATTCCAAGCCACATGGGCTGAAATACTATTAATTCTTGATTTTTTGGTAATCAGAATAAACTGAAAGCCCTGGCCAGTGTGGCTCAGATGGTAAGGCATCAGCCTGTGCACTGAAAGGGCGCTGGTTTGATTCCCAGTCAGAGCACATGCCCTGGTTGCAGGCTGGATTGCCGGTAGGGGTGTACAGGCAGGAGGCAGCCCATTTATGTATAGCTCTCTTCCTCTCCCTTTTCTTTAAAAAAACAAACAAACAAAAACAAAACAAATCAAACAAAATTTTAAAAAAAGAATAAACCGAAAAAATAGCGAAACTATAAAGAGAGCCAATACTAAAACTCCATAATTAAACAAACAATTATAAACCCAATCCTAGGAATTACCAATGTGCTATGATCCAAATGGCACATCCTTTCCCCTCGAAAATCTCTTCCCTTTTCTCTTTGGAGCTGTAAAATCAAATAAGCAATTCTGCTTTGGGCTGATGATAAATTATAAGGAGATACGACCATGGTTCAACAGTAACGGCACTACCATGATTATAAATGATCATCATGCTAAAAAAAAAATAATAATTAAAATACAAAACACCTCCAACCACAACATGGTACCCAGGCGCCCTTCCAAGTAGGAAACAGGAAAGCCACCTTTCGCTCATGAGCTCGTCAGAGACCTTCTGCTCCTCGTATTCCATCTTGTCCTTGGTGGCCTGGCTCAGCTCCTCGCTGTCCAAGACCACCCCTTCGTCCTGGGTTCGGGGGCCCTGCCTGGGGAGCCTCAGCCTCCGCTTCTTGACCTTGCTCTTGGTAAAGTCCGGGTACTGGTACGCCCGGTCGTGGTCCATGTCCTGGTCCCTGCAGCCGTCGGGGGGCTGGGTCATGGGGCGCTTGCACGCGTCCTGCGGCAGGTCCACGGCCATGCGCTTGACCTTGCGGCGGCGCCGCAGGCTGCGGCTGCCCAGGCCGTCCAAGGCCAAGTCCGCCTCGTGCCACAGCGGCCGCTTGGCCCGCACCCCGCCGCCCAGGGCGGACGCCGGCCTGCGCTTGGCCACCAGCATCTGGTCGTCCGAGTCGCTGTGGTCCTTCTTGTGGCTGGCGGGGTTCTCCCTGTAGTCCTTGCCCGGCTCTTCCAGGCTGGAGTCCGAGCCCTCGCTCAGGCCGTGGCCCGCCTCCCACGGGTGATGCGTGTTGTGGGACCTCCGCTTCCTCCCCCTCCGCTTCCTGGCCTGGCGTTTGAGGGGGCAGGACAGGCTGCGGGCATGGTCCCCCGTGTCCGCGAAGCCCCCGCGGGCCTGCTCCGAGCTCTCCTCCAGGGCCGACACCAGGTCATGCACCAGCTCTTCCATGGCCCGGCTGAAATGCCTGGGTTTTTAAAGAAAGAAAGAAGGGTCAACAAAACACTCAGCATCAGCACGTTAGCCTAGCTGACAGTGGTCGGCAAACTCATGAGTCAACAGAGCCAAGTATCCATAGCACGATTGACGTTTCTTTGGAGAGCCACATTTTTTAAACTTAAACGTCTCCTAACGCCACTTCTTCAGCATAGACTCGCCCAGGCCGTGGTATTTTGTGGAAGAGCCACACTCAAGGGGCCAAAGAGCCACATGGGAGCCTCCCTGTTCTAAAATGGCCCTTCATTTTGCTTAGAGTTCATCTGAAAGTCTCTTGGCCTTCTTAAATTACTATTTTAATAAAAATAAGCCGAAGCCATTGAACTCTGTCATCAGTGAGGAAGTGATCCGCTAGCTGGCAAGGATAGACATCTGTATTCTTTGGGAATGTTTATAAATTACACTGGTCCTCTGGAACCAAGTCTGGAAGATTCTAGATCAGCTGATGTGATGGGAGGGCCCAGGACTCGGATTTTATTTCTTAAACATTACAGGTAATTCAAATATGAAGATCATAAACAATCACGTTAACAAGATACTCAAAGGATTTACTAGTAGTTAAGTAGATGCGTCAGTAAACTATTGAAGATGGTTTAAAGGTTTCCATAAATATGGATGCTAAGAAGCTATAGCAAAATCAAGGAGTGCCTAACCAGGATTTAGGTGGAAAGCAGAGGGGGAAAAAGGAGCTGAAAGAGTCACATTTCTAAATCAGTCATCTGTCCCACAAGTCAGTATGAACATAGCAAGGGCAGATCAGTCTTCAGAGCACGTTTTGTCTCCCTTCCTTAACAAGGTATTGCAGAGTGAAACATTTTAAGAAAGGTACCCTGGAGAGGATATCGGATGGAAGTCTTACAGTGTTCTAGAAGTTCTTAGGGATCAAAGTATTCTAATTGTAGATTATACAATTCTACAGTCTATAGCAGGGGCTGGCACACTTTTCCGTAAAGGGCCAGATGGTAGTAAACCTTGTAAGCTCTGCAGGTTAGTGGGTCAAAAATATCAACCTTCACCATCATAAGAGGAAAAATACCTCAGGCCATCCATGAGCTGAAAGAGTCACAGGGTGTGGCTGTGCTCTGATTAAATTTATTTACAAACCGGGTGAAGGCAGGCCATACTTTGCTGACTCCAGCTTTATAGACTCTCTGTAGTCTATAATTTCAGACACTCGCAAATCCCTGATAACTTTCAACTTTGTCTTTTCAGTTTAATGAGCACTAAAAATTTAATGAGCACCTTGTGATCCAACTGGGCCTGCCATGTATGAGCAACGCATGCACAATGCTTGACAAATCACAGATGTGTGACAAACCATAGATGTGAAAAACAAAACAAAACTGTTGTGTAAGCAAACTAATGAATCACTAAATAAGTGAGCAAGCAGCCAAGGAAAAAGATGACTTGACTAAAAATTTAGCAATCCAGGTTTCCAAATTTCTGCCATATTAACAACATACTCTAAGTGGATAGTTAATAAGTGAGTCAGGTAAGGGCATACTATTGAAGATGGTTAAAAGGTTTTCATAATTATGAATGTTAAGAGGCTATGCCTAAATGAGTCTTATGCCTAAATCATACCGACCATTGCTTTGATTTCTAATTGTTGAAACAGAAACTTAACTCAAACCTGACAACATGAAATAAAGACAATAAAAAAGTTATTTAAAAATGAACATATTTCCCTATGCAGTTTTCCAGACCTAAAAATATTGATATAATAAAAATACCAAATAGAAATGAAATTATAGAAACAAAGGTCCCAAATCAACAGTTCAATGTTTTTTCTAAAAGCAAAGCCACAAAGTTAAATAGATATTATTCAGTATGCTAATTATCAAGGACTTAATTTTTAAAATTTGTTTAGGTCAATCTTTAAATATACTTCCTCCAAAAGCCAAGAAACTGACTTCAAGTATAAATTATTAATAATGTAAAAATAAAGAAAAGTGTATCTAAATACTAAATGTTATTTGTCCACCAAATGAATCAAAATTTAAAAAGTTAACGTTAGATGAACCAATTTAGATATATTTCGGGTCCTAATTTCAAAATTGTATGTGAGTGCTGAGGCAGGAAATGGTAGACACTCAACTATTATAACATTCTTTTGTAAAAACATAATATGAATCACTTATAAGATTTACTTGAACAAAACGTATATATTCCTTTCCCAACACATAAAAAGTCACAGGATCTTTAGTGTATAAAACTTTCCTTCCTTAGGCATCTATATTATAGAATATAGTATTAGTTCTACTTTGCAAATTGTTAACAAAGAGATAAATTACCCAATTGGTGCTTAAAAGCAGTAAAGATGAGAGTTAAATACATCAGGAATTTCTGGTTGGTTAACAAATCGAGACATATTCTTTCCAGTTCACATATTCCTTAAGATATTGTACGTTATTCCTTAAGGCACTGTAAATTAATAGGTAGTATACGTGGATTGTTTAAGAATTTTTGTAAATATACTGAAATCATATTACAAATGACACTTGGGCACGTTACTTAAAAAAATCCAGTAAAAATGATGAATGACAGGGTGGCTGTGCAGATAAACTAGAAAGTAAAGGTTCCAGTTGTCTGGAACACATTCACTCTGCCAAATCAAGCACGATTTCAAGAATTTCATTCAAAAACACTGATTAAGTGCTTGGCACTATTTTATACTCCTGTGTCTTAAGGGTGAATCGTATGCTGCCAAATGAAAACAGGGTAGGCTCTTTAAAAGAGAACTGTATTATAGCCAAAACCGGTTTGGCTCAGTGGTAGAGCGTTAGTCTGCGGACTGAAAGGTCCCGGGTTCAATTCCGGTCAAGGGCATGTACCTTGGTTGCAGGCACATCCCCAGTAGGGGGTGTGCAAGAGGCAGCTGGTCGATGTTACTCTCTCATCGATGTTTCTAGCTATCTCTCTCCCTTCCTCTCTGTAAAAAATCAATAAAATATATTTTAAAGAGAGAGAGAGAGAGAGAGAGAGAGAGAGAGAGAGAGAGAGAGAGAACTGTATTATAAAGAGGTGCCTAACCAGGATTACAGTAGAAGGTGGGAGAGGAAGGAATTGAAAGAGTCACATTTTTAAATTAAATAGTCACATGTCCCACAAGTCAGTATCAAGACAGCACCAGCAGACCAGTCTACACAGCACATTTTGTCTCCCTTCCTTAACAAAGAGCTTGATTAGTGAAACATTAATAAAAATACCCTGGAGATGTGATTCCAGGTGATGGAAGAGTCTTATATCTTGTTTAAGGTGAGCAGACGTCCCGCTTTCCAAAAATCGGGACTTTTTTTAAAACGCCGCAGGACTTGGGACAAATTGTTCATTATCGGGACTGGTGGGACGTCTGGTCACCTTAATCTTGTTCAGTGTGGTGGTTACACAGTATATCCATTGCCAAAACAAGAAATACTAAACACTTAAGAAATATATGTTTTACTCTAAGCTAAATCACATCACCATTGAAAAAAAAAAAAAATGTGCTCCCTGCTTTTCTGCATGGAAAATGTGAGAATTTCAAAGGAGCATAAACAATCTATATTCATTATAAAATGAGCCACAGGATGATTGATCTCTTTCCAAACAAGATATTCTTTTATCTTCTCGGAGGAGAAATAACTGAGATTCCCTGTATTCTCGTTCATTGTCTAATCCAGGAATGGACATACATTTTTTGGCCACTTTTCACCTGTTGTTCAACACTTGCTGTTTGAGAATTCACTGTCAGTGGGAAATCTGCTTGGGTGTTTCACTGCTTGCCTTGGGTATGCTTGGAGGAAAAGACGGTGGGAGGAAAGTGGAACAGGCATTGGGGTTTTCAACTGGAAATCGGTCCCCCAGCCCCCAGCTCTAGGACTGAAAAGTGCATGGAAGTGTTGACAAATCACTCCAGTATTCCGAGCCAGTCCCGGTAATAATCTTACCACAGGGCTGCCTGTCATAAGGGTACAGAGGATGCACTCTGATGAGACAACGTAATAGATCATTCTAAAGTGACAAGGGTTGACAAGCCCCAGACTTAATCCTGGCATTTACTTACCTGTCCTTAGGGAACTCCCTTACCTATCTCATTTGAACTAGAATGGGATGTTCGAGGGACAGAAACAGTTACTCCCACTCAAAAAACAAACAAACACAAAAAAACAGTGGGACTTGGGAGCGTGGGTAGGGTAGGGGCCTGAGTGGGTGGGTAGGGTGGGCGGGAGGGTGAGGTCGCTTCCTCTATCAAACTTCCAGAACCTCTAGATCTCTGGAATTTGATCTGATATGACCGATCCATGCTTCCCGCCCCAGATCCTGTCAACACATCCCTGGGAAGCGAACTGCCTGGCCCAGGAGTACAGAAAGCTTTGCCCCTAAAATGCCGCAGCGTGTCAGACAAGCCATCAGCCAGCGTTCACCGCCTCCCGTCTCCGATCCCCTGCACCCCCCTCCCCTCCGATCGCGTGCACCCCGGCACGCGTGGGGGCCAGGCCTGCCTCCGGGCCGCCGCCACCACTCCCCCCGCCAGGTCCGGCGGCCTCGGGCCAGAACCCCGACCCGTGTCGCATCCCCCCAGCGCCGCCAGCCTCACCAGCGGTTCCCGGCGGCTGCAGCTCCGATCGGCGGGCGCCCGGCGGCCCCGAACATTAACGACACCCAGGAGCCTAGCCTCGAGGCTCAGGCCCGAGGACCGACTCCAATCAGCGCCACCCGGGCGACGGGCACCGAGCGCTTCAGCATTTTTGAGCGCAGCTTCCGGGAAACCCCAGGGAGGCGGAAACCGGAAGTCGGGAGCAACCACCCGTCCTCTTTCCCCCCCCCTCCCCCTCCACACTGCCTCGCTTCTAACCCCCTTATTGTACTCACAGAGGCCACCAAAGTAAATTTCGCTCCTACTAAAAGTATATTGTTTTTTTTCCTAATGTTTTAGAAGCAAGCGGGGTGCTAAAAAGTGGAGCACACCAACATTGGACACCCCCGCCGGAATCTGCCGAATGGTTCTGCCCGGTTGCCCTGGAGACCGAGAGCAACGCCAGCGGGAAGGCAGGCGCCGGAGGCGATGGCCAGGCTGGCGCAGCTGCAGCAGCGGGCGGCCCTCCTAGCGCATCAGTTCTACTTCCGAAACAGGTGAGCCCGGCGCCGGCTGGGCCTGCAGGCAACCGGGTTTCAGCAGAGGTTTCCTAACCACACGTTGCCTCCTTGGAGAAATAGACACCTGCCCTTCTTCCTTCCTCGGCTGCAAACAAACAGCATCATCATCACAAGTTTAGAAAGTGGTATCACCCTACGCGGGGTTACCCTTAGGGAGTGGAGGGGGGCGTGTGGATAGCAGCTTGAGATGATGGCGGGAAAAGCCAGGCGTCCATGAAACTGTAAAAGGGGTTTTTGACATCATCATCACTCTGCAGTTGGATGGAAAGAGGCTTAAGAACCTGATTGGGGCCAAAACCGGTGTGGCTCAGTGGGTAGAGCGTCGGCCTGCGGACTGAGGCGGTCCCAGGTTCAATTCCGGTCAAGGGCACTGCCTTGGTTGCCTGCACATCCCCAGTGGGGGGTGTGCAGAAGGCAGCTGATCCATGTTTCTCTCTTATCGATGTTTCTAGCTCACTATCCCTCTCTGTAAAAAAAATCAATAAAATATATTTTAAAAAGATAAAAAAGAACCTGATTGGGATAACATGGGCTCCCCAATCTGGGTGAGCTAGTGTGTCCCCCATACCTGGGAATTTGTGCCTCCATTCGAAAAGCCAACTTGAATTTGACCTACACAGGTGTCAAGGGGATGCCTCTTTCATGGCTCGGATTCATCGTGGGTCTCAGAGCGAACTGGTCAAAACAGGAGCAGAGATTTTCCAGTATCAGTATATTAATTAATAGGAGAGGGCGTACTAGGCATGTGGGTGATCATATGAGCACAAAGTATAAATTGGGCATAGTGTCTACCTTTAAGGAAGTTGGCATCCTTGAGACCTAAGAGTGAAATGATATTCAAAAACTAATAATTTTACACATCAATATAGCTTATAATTAGAGGGCAGCTAATATTGGAATTTTATTCCTGGTTTCTAAAATAGTTACAAGTTATATGATAATGAGAAGGAAGGAAAAACTACTGGGTTTTTAATCTAGTATTTAGTAGCTAATACATAGAATGCAGAGTAAGCACTGTATATTAATGTGCAAAATGCATAGTTTTTGCATATTACTTAACAGATATTTCACCACACATTTTTTCATTTTTATTTATTGTCAGTTAATTTATGGCCCCGAAAATGCACAAGAATATAGTGTTATCCAGGGTTATAGTGCTTATTTCTAGTTGATGACGAATTGACTAGAAACTTCCAGCTTTTTCTCGATGTTTTATTACATTCCCATTAATACTTTTGGTCTTTCATCATTAATAATTCATTTAGTATTCATTGTGATAATACTGATCGTAATAAATTTATTTCAAATTCATGTGGATGTCATGTTTTATTCACTGCTATAGGATTTTCATCATAATTTGGAACTAATTAATATACCATTAAAATAAAGTGTTACCCACATTTTTCATTTTAATCATAAAATGTCTAGCAGTTCATGACATATTGTATGAGTAGTCAGCAGCCCAGTGGTAATCCAAATATCTGTAAATTTCATTTTTAAGCAGTATTTTTTTTTTAAAAAAAGGGAGCAATAGATAAATGTGTATGGAAGTCAAATTTCAGCACATGAGTTAAAACTTAGCAGTAAGTGAACTACTAGATATTTTTAAATGTTTCCCTTTAAGGTATATAGTTCTAATAAGTATAGTACAATATGTGTACTTGGATTTATATACATTATTATTTATAACTTTAAAATGAAGCAATTTAATTTTGCTCTTGACTATGTATTATATGTTAGCACTATTACCAGGAAATATTAGAAGACATAAACTCAAAGTAGATAATTTGATTGCTTATCTTTTGCATAACAACAATCATAAGTAAAGGGTAAGTTGAAAGGACATATTAGATGTATCTATACACCTATTCATACTTTTTCTCCCTCTTTTGTAAAGGTAGTCAGTGTTTATTATTGGTGGAAAAGAAGAGACAGCTATGCTCAGTCATTTTAATAGAGAACATTAAAGAAAAAGGAAAATGGGTCTACTGTGATATTAAATGTTAATGGCAACAGTGGGTAACATAACCATAAGAAATCACTTAATCCTATTATCAAGACTTTCACTTCTCATCAGCCTTACTGAGTGACGTTATTCTTTCCTTCTCTTCCTCATGCTCTTCTTTGTTGTTGTCTTTTTAAAATATGACTTTATTGATTTGAGGGAGGAGAAGAGGGAGAGAGAGAGAGAGAGAGAGAGAGAGAGAGAGAGAGAGAGAGAGAGAGAGAGAGAGAGAGAGAGAGAGAGAACATCAAAGAGACAGAAACATGGCTGCCTTTTGCAGGCCCTCCACTGGGGATCCAGCCCACAACCCAGGCATGTTTTCTGACCCAGAATCAAACCTGGTTACTAGGTTATCACTCGACTACTGAGCCACACAGGTTGGCAGCACGCTTTTGCACATCCAGATCACTACCTTTGATGCAAATTTTGGTTCCTCCCTTTGCTTTTGTTGATCCTTTTCTGTAAGGTTTTCTGGGTAGCTCTCCTTCTTACCTATAACTAGCATCCACCTACTTATTTCTCCAACTCCTGGTCACTGACAGCTTAACAGCTCATCCTGTTTTTCTTTCTCTCAGCTGACGTTATAATATTGTCCAAGAATTTGTATTGTTTCAAGTGTTTTTACTTTCCATTCTGTTTTTCTTCTAATTATGATGAATACACGTGATGAAATTTATATATTTAACATAACCTATAATGGCAACAACAACAAAAAAATAACCTCTCTCCTAAAAACCGTAATTCTGAGGGAATTGCTTTTAAAAGCAAGACATAGATGGCTGGCCATTCTTTATTCATTCAGCAAACATAAAATGCTAATTATGTGCCCAGCAGCATTCTGGGAGGGAAGTCCCTCTGTGCCCACAGTAGTTGCCCTGAGCAAATCACTTCATCAAATGGGGATGAAGGGAGCATGCTAATGATTGCTGAAATGAAAATGGAAGTGTGTCTTCATTGATCCTCTTTGGGCTGGAAATTAATAGATCTGATGACTGCATTTTGTATCTTTATTTCTTTATAACCCCATGGCCCTCTCCCCTGCCTCCTTTAACTGAAATGGACTTTCTGAGAATTCTATCTAACATTGGCATTCTGTGATAGATTTATTTTACTTAGAAGCGATTCGTGTAACTGATGCAATGACTGAAATATGCAAACATTTTAATCCCGCTTGATATGTTTTTTCTTTATTTTGTTTCTTTATTTTCTTATAACATCACTTGTAAATTAGTTAGTTGCAGAGTAAGTGAGCATAAAAATTTTTTTAAAAAGTAAAACTGTTGAAAACACATGGCCCCTCAGAGAAAGGTTTATGTTTTAAACATAGCTCATGCTTTCTGAAATGCTTTTTTCCTATCTAGTATTTTTTAAATTTACCTTTATTGCTGAAAATACTACAGATGCTCTGCCCTCTTTTTAAATTTCTATTTAAAATGATGTTTGATTGGTCATGACCATTTTGGAAGAAATTAAATATTAAGTTTAACTGACTGACTTTAGAATTATATTAGTCACTAATGAAAACTTTCTTTTTTTTTTTTCTTTTAAGTGTTGTGGATGTATTTAGAAAAAAAGAAAATGATGCAGCAGTTACAATCCAGAGCTGGTATCGAGGATGTAAAGTTCGGACGTATATCAGGTATAATGATTTTGTAGAGGGAAATTCAGATACACCATAAAAATATACTCCTTGCAAAATGTAACTTATGCATGTAATGCTCATTTCAAGTAATATTTTATGTTACTGTAATGTAGCTGATGAGGTATATAATCTTCTTTTTAAAGATATAAATTTTTTGGTCATTTTTCTTACATATCAGAAAAGAAAATTATATTGACCATTTCTCAACTTGCAGCTATTCTCAATATTGTAAACCTATTTGACAAAATTCTTTTCTTCAAATTCTACTGGGTATGACAAATGACTGATATTAATAGCAATTACTTCATTGACTGGTAAGAAAGAAGAAAAACAAATAAAATAAAAAAGCTTATTTTTTTCCAATAAGTTGGTAAATGATACTAGAATGATGCCATTCCTATTGCAAATGATTGAACTTGCTCTTTAACTGGTCCACTTGTTCTTCAGTGCTCAAACTTCCCTTCAGTTTCCCTTCCATCCTGAAAAAATAAAAATAAAAATTTCCTAGATAAGGTGAAGAACGAATATGCCTCATCAGTAATAATTCAGAATGCAAGCTGGAGGTCATACTGTGTATGTCCTTAAATGATTACCTAGTAGAAACCAGACATGCAAATTAAAGTGTGACCTTTTGCCTGGCTGGTGTGGCTCAGTGGTTGAGCATTGCCTCATGAACCAGGAAGTCATGGTTCTGATTCCAGGTCAGGACACATGCCTGGGTTGCAGGCTGGTTTTCCAGTAGGGGGCGTGCAGGAGCTAGTAGATCAATGGTTCTTGCTCATCATTGATGCTTCTATCTCTCTCTCCCTCTCACTTCCTCTCTGAAGTCAGTAAAAATATACTTTAAAGTATGAAGTTTTCATCTTTGATCACAGTAAACTAGAAACTTGGCAGCAAAGAAAGTCTTTTGAATTCAGCAAACACAACATTCACCTGGACAGACTGAGTAATATAAGGAAAGAATCGGGTGGGGAACCGTTTTCTAACCTCAAGAAGTATTTCTAAATTCTGCAGTGATTCACAGCAACAGTGCCTGTCTTATCTCTCAACATGTCACCATGACTGGTTTTATTGTCTTAGAATAAAAGAATACTTTAGAGAGTAAATATTGAAGAATAATTGAAAGTTTAAAGAATTTATTTCATCAGCAGCCCCAAAGAAATACTGAATCATTATCTATACCTTTTCCCCCCTCTTCTATAAATTATGAATTCTTTCCCAGAATGGAAACTCTCTACTGTTTGAAAGTACACATTCAGTTGGCTTTGAATTTGATTTTTTGAATTGCAGGAAGGTATATTCTAAGCAGGTTGTAAGAGATACTTTTGTTCCGGTGAAAGCATACTAATAAGCATATTCTTCACTCAGGTATTTACACAGAGTTGCAACAGTTATTCAGAAATGGTGGAGAAGTTACTTAGGAAAGAAATGTTATCAACGCAAGATAAAGGTAAATATTACCCAATTTATATATGGTTGTATTAAAATTATACAATATGCCATAACTCATTCACTTCAGTCAGATTTATAGGTAATTTTTAAGTTATCTGTGGTAAATATTTACATACGAACAAAATTGGATTTAAATTTTAGTGCGAGACCTCTTCTGAGAGGCCATTCCTGATTTTCCTGTGAAGTGACGACTAATTTCTTTGCAACCAAATAACACCAGAAGCTTTATTTTTGTTAAAGAACCTTTCACAGTATATACGTACTTATTTGTTGATGATTTTCCTCTACCTTTTAGATGGTGAGTAGATGCTGTAGCTTGTTCATTTGTGGATCACCAACATGTACACTACTCTCTGGCCCATAACACAGTCAATAAACATCAATTGAGCCTGGGTTGTGTGGCTTAGTGATTGAGCATCGACCTATGAACCAGAAGGTCATGTTTATACCTGGTCAGGGCACATGCCCCATTTTCAGGCTCGATCCCCAGTGTGGGGCATGGAGGAGGCAGTCAATCAATGATTCTCTCTCATCATTGATGTTCCTCTCTCTTTCTTCCTCTCTAAAATCAATAAAAATATATAAAATATATTTCTGGAAGAAAGGAAAGGAGGAAGGGAGGAAAGAGAGGGGAGGGGAGGGAAGGGGGAGAAGGAAGGGAAAGGAGAGGAAGAGAAAAAGGAAGAGAAGGGAAGGGAAGGGAAGGGAAGGGAAGGGAAGGGAAGGGAAGGGAAGGGAAGGGAAGGGAAGGGAAGGGAAGGGAAGGGAAGGGAAGGGAAGGGAAGGGAAGGGAAGGGAAGGGAAGGGAAGGGAAGGGAAGGGAAGGGGAAAGGTGTGAGCTCTTTGCATTTGTGCTGACGACGTTAGGACACCTCCATGTGGTGGTGTCTTGCAAGGAGCTCTGGCTGTATCTCCAGAGCATCTGGAACACCATCCTCAGCCCAATTTTTATAATAAATTTCTTTAGAAAACTTCCTAATAAGTTATGTTAGTAAGTCAACACTCAGCACCCTTTGATGTCAGATCATAAAACTGAAAGATAATATATTTTTCCCTTCAGGGTCTTGCCTCTTAAATACACACCTAAGACTGAATATGTTAAGACTCTGACTTACTAATATTAACTTAAACGTTATTCATATATTTTCACCTAATTATGAAATGAATTTAGTTTGGTTTACCTGCTTTTAAAGATTCTATCAATAGCAACTGGGAGAAAGAATGAAATTGACTTTTAATTGTTTCGGGGGGGGTTTGGAAAAATACAGGTTATTTTAAAAATCAGCTGTTGATAATCACCAGGTTGGTATCGGTTGCCAGCAAACAAAGCAAAGCATATGCCACAAATACTCATGATTATTTGGTCATCAATCATCTTAATGATTCCACTCAAAATTATGAAATGAGAGTGACACTGTTGTGAAAAGTGATGAAGGCCCATCCGCTCTGGTATCCATATGTGCATGTTTTTTGTTTTTGTTTTTGTTTGTTTGTTTTTTGTTTTTGTTTTTGTTTTTTATAAAAGAGCAAATCTTTGACTTTTTATTTATTTTTATTTTTTTAAATATATTCTTATTGATTTTTTACAGAGAGGAAGAGAAAGAGAGATAGAGAGCCAGAAACATCGATGAGAGTGAAATATCTATCAGGTGCCTCCTGCACACCCCCCACTGGGGACGTGCCCACAACCAAGGTACACGCCCTTAACCGGAATCGAATCCGGCGGGACCCTTCAGTCTGAAGGCTGTTGCTCTATCCACTGAGCCACACCGGTTTTGGCTACGCATGATTTTAAAAGAGTCCACTGCCACCATTCCAGCACAAATATTGTCTCTGTATCACTCTTGCTAGCAAGGAAAGCCAGTTGATCTGGTCAAGTTTGTATGGATATATTACTCAAAAAGTTCTCACATGAGGTTTTTGGTGTGGTACTTAGTGTGTGTGTGTGTGTGTGTGTGTGTGTGTGTGTGTGTGTGTGTGTGTTTGTGTGTGTGCGCGCGCGTGCACGCACTATAGAGAATTGAGAATAAACGTAACATCAATTACTGGTTCACCGGAGACCAATACATTGGAATCAAAGTGCTCTTCCACCTTTGAGCTATACAATTCCGAATCCTGAGGCTTAAAAGTTGTCTCTTTCCTCTTCGCTCAGAATAAATTTGAACCTCTTAGACAATTTGGATCTTATTGAGAGCTGAAGGAGCTGCTTCTCACAACACGAGTGGTGATCGCTCCGGTAATGACGGTCCTTGTGTCCCAAGGCCATTTATGTCATGTCAGTCTTCACAACAGCTCTAGGAAGTAAGGAGTGTCCCGTCAGGTGACCTCCAGTAACAAATTCAAAGTCACAGGCAGCTAAATGCAGCGTCCGGAACTGAACCCACGTCTGTGGCTTCAAAGCTCCCACACCCTCGGGGATGCTACCTGAACAGCAGTGTGATAGAAATAAGGAACATCTCATTCTGAACCTCAATTGTCTTCAAAGATATGATTTCCAATAGGTGTCTCTTCTATAAAAATACTGTTTATACCTGCCTGGATATGCATTGAAGAAGTAGGATTTTAAAGGAACTCTTTGGAATTCACCTCCAACACCAAGAATTATGCCTTGATTGTGAAAACGAAGACAGTGAATTTATTTGTTTTTATTTTTATTTTTTAAAATATATTTTATTGATTTTTTTTACAGAGAGGAAGAGAGAGGGATAGAGAGTTAGAAACATCGATGAAAATCATCCATCAGCTCCCTCTTGCACACCCCCTACTGGGGACGTGTCCACAACCAAGGTCCATGCCCTTGACCGGAATCGAACCTGGGACCCTTCAGTCCTCAGGGCCATGCTCTATCCACTGAGCAACACCAGTTTCAGCACGAAGACAGTGAATTTAGAATGAAGTCTCACCATTGTGTTCATTTGTGAATAACATATTGCAGCCAACTGTTTCCTAATTGCCCGACTGTTGATGAATAAGCCAGCGCTGCTCAGCACAGACAATTTGCTTTGGATCAAATCAAGGCAAACAATACTAATTACAGCAGAAGTCTTTCCTACAAATTCCTATGTGTTGGGGGAGGGAGGGTGGAGGGAGAGCGGGACCCTATGTAAAAATGAAGGCACTTGTCTCTGATTTTGCCTGACACAGCACCTGTTACCTGGGCTCCAGAGAACTATTAGTGCACGAATTTTGATTGAATAAAAACAGATCAAGTTGTATTTCGTGTTGGAAAAACATGTGTATTTTATTTCTTTGCTGTATATTGCCCTCTCACGACTCCGGTTCATCTTATATTTTTAATCAAAAGTTGGGATGGAGATGGAAGCGTTATTGAAAGCAGTGTTTTCATTGAAATAAGCTATGGTGGCGAATGGGGATTTGCTATAACGGAGACATGCTTATTAATGTCTCTACCAGAAAGAAACCAAGACTTGAGGAAGTCTTCCCTGTATCAGGGGATTTGCTGTAACGAGATATCATTGTATTTATGGTTTTATGGTGGTAAAAATGAATGTTAAACAGAATTCCCGAGCATTCCTCGGGAGGCAGCTGAGTACATAGCATTTTGTACAGATGGTTGGAAGGCACAATTTTCCTCCATCACTGCATCCCCATCCTTGAACGCTTTCGACTGAAGACAGCCTTTCTTTGAATTTTTCATTAAACCAGACGTCTTGAAATATGAATTCCTTTTATGTTTCTGTGAGTTTTGGCTAAGAGAGCCCCAGTGAATAAATCATACAATGCTACGTGTCACCAGCACTTGTGAATATTTCTGCTTTGTTATTCTATTCTCAGTAGAGCCCCATTGATTATCAAACTCAGCGGAGAGCATTTTATGATCATATATCTCCATTAGCGCCTAGTTTGACTACCATAGATTTTTCTGGTTAAGCCTGCATTATGTATTAGGAAGCCTATCTCTTCAATACAAAGTTTGATTTCATTTTTCTAAGCCTAGAGCTCTTATTATGTATTATGTATAAAGATTCTTATCTTTTATATGTAAGAAAAGGCTGCACTGTCTTTGTGTAACTGAAATATATGCCATCTTTTTTTTTTCCTTCTTGATTCACAGTTAGCATATCATGATATGAAGATGAATATCTACAATGCAATGGCTGTCAGGGTAAATATTTCTTCACTTGTTAAACAAATGAAAAGTCAATTGTGCCTTGAATTCGTTTTTAATAAAATGAGCAAACCAGAATAATGCAAATTTGATTGATATGCTAATGGTAAAGGGAGAAAAGAATACATAGTTAAAAAGTTAGCTCTACTAAATAATCCTGGCAGTATTAAAAATTAGAGTAAAATGTAAAACATGTAATTATCAATGCTTATGTTTTAGAATGTTAAATATCTCTGAGCCATAACTGGAGAAAGACCATAAATATTAATGAAGCAATGTATTAGTTTCCATATGTCATAGAGAATATTGTGATAAATAGATGAACGTGGTTCTGGAATTTAAGATTCCTGCCCAATACAAATCAATTAGAAATAATTCAAATGATTTAACAGTAATAAAGTCAGTTTCCAGCGTAGAAGTTTTATTTCTATCACTTCTGTGTTCATTGTTATGTGTTATTTTCCTGAGAGAAAGCTGGAGTTGGTGATTTTGAAACTGGCACAGAATTGGGGAATGGGGAAGGCAAAAGTTTTCTTGTTTGTTTTCTTTTTGGTCTCAGACATTATGGTCATAGCTTGATTGTGAAGCTCTTATAAATGGAGAAGTTACTTAAGCGGGTTTTATTAATGTCCTTAAAACCTACATTCTCTTACATTTTCTTTCATTAATCTATTCATTCTTACTTCTGGTAATAAAGGATTTTATTGGGGGTGAAAAAAGTAAGATGCCCGCTGGAAGTCCTGAGTTGAACTCTGGCGGGCAGATTAACGTTATTTTGATAATTTATATTTTTGCAGGAAGGTGCCTCCCTCTGCAGGGGTGCCAGGGCTGGGAGCCTCGCTTAGGGACAGTCTCCAGTATCTCTCTGGCTACCATGTGGAACTGATCACTCTCTCTCTTTCTTTTTTTTTTTCTTTTTCTTTCTTTTGATCACTCTCTCTTTTGATGTCCTTGTTTGACCATGAACACCCTTCTGTACTAGAACCTGTGACATCTTATTAGCCTTACTCATTTACATGCTGTATCCATCCCCATCCCCTCCCCTCTGTAAGGGGCCTCAGATCTGATCTTCTTTGTATCTGCAGTACTAGACTTGTAGTCGGTGATGTTGATGTCCCTTAATATATCAACCAACACCGGCTTGCTCTAAGCAAGGAGTAAAACAAGACGTTTGTTTAAAATCCTTTCTGTCTCTGCCCCTCCAGTCCTCATTGGAGTCATGTTAGCCCTTGTGGGGGATGCTCAGGCTGTTTTGATCTCCTGCCTGGGCTGTGTGGGGTGGACAGACTGGACGTGGGGAGGTCATATTTGGCTAGTGCAGTCCTCGTATGGATGGAAGATCTCATGAGCTTTGGAGTCCTGGCAAAGTCCCCCAACACGGACAGGTCCACTGAGTTCTGGTCTACACTGCCTCCGGAACCCGCAGGGCGTCTACACAAAACCCCTCGGTGATCTGCCGCCAGGCCAGGCCAGTCGGGCAGTCAGTTGCTCAGTAACTTTTTCCCTTGGCTCCTGGCCTGTTTCTCTGAGTGACACTCCATTGCCTTTTGGGTCTTTGATTTGACTTTGCTCCAGATTGCGGTTCTGCTTCTCCTCCAGCATCTTGGTTGCTTCATAGCAGATCTCTCTTCAGTTTGGCCCCCAAATTTCCCCACCCAGCTCTCTCTGCACAGCTTTTAGTATCGTATGTGAATGTCAGGAGGTGATGCAGCTGCCCAGCTCATTTCGCTCCCTGTCCCATCTAGAGGGGCAATGATGCATGTTTGTGTGGCCGGGTAGAGAGTTGATCCTCTGTTGCTTAAACATGGGGTGTCACCAGAGGCCCCCAAAGCACTGGGCTTAGGAAGTCCGTCCGCTTCCTAACAGTAGTATATGTGGTATTAATATGAAGGCAAAATTACTTTGTATAGTTTTCCAGAGTGCTGTGCATTCTAAATCATTAAAAAAGTGTAATTATGAATAAGTGCTCTATTTCTGTATGCTCTCATATACATTTGGAGAGTCAGCATTAGCTACATTATTAGTGAACTTTTTGTCCATGTCTTCTTTAAAATATATATATATATATATTTTCTTATTGATTTCAGAGAGGAAGGGTGAGGGAGAGAGAAGCATCAATGATGAGAGAGAATCACTGATAGGCTGTCTCCTGCATGCCCCCTACTGGGGATCAAGCCCACAACCCGAGCATGTGCCCTGACTGGGAATCAAACAGTGACCTCGAGGTTCATAGGTTGATGCTCATCCACTGAGCCACACCAGCTGGGCCATGTCTTCGTTTTTCATTTTAGGTGAGAAAACATTGTTTTTCTGTCTTTTGATAACATTAAGGTCACTAAGAATTTTGAGGAATTAAACTCAATGGAGGTAGACCTTTCCTATGAGTAGATGACTTTTGATATATTATCAGGCTTTTGCCATTTGTTTTAGTGCTTAAAATAAACGTTATTTATAAGCCCACTTACGTTTTGATGTTACTTAATGAGGAATATGCATCATTGATTTGACTAGCTTAAGAGGTCATTTGGAAGTTGCCCATTAACAAGCTGTAATCTGCTGAGCTCGCAATGACTGTTTAAAATTATCTATTCAGAGCTGATCAATGACAATAATTGTTTCATACCAATCACTTCTGAAAGTTGCTGATTACTTTGAAGGACATGAAATAAAAACTCAATAAATGTTTGCTTTTGTTATTGTTAAAGAAGTATTCCAATGGTTTGATGAAGATGCAAGACATTTTGTTTAGAGAACTGATACCACTGAATTTAAAAAGCCCACTTAAAAAAATTATCTCAGCCTGGCCAGTGTGGTTCAGTGGTTAAGCATCAACCCATGAATTAGGAGGTCATAGTTCGATTCCTCGTCAGGACACATGCCCAGGTTATGGGCTTGATCCCCAGAAGGGAGCATGTAGGAGGCAGCTGATCAATGATTCACTCTCATCATTGATGTTTCTCTCTCTCCTCCCTCTCCCATTCTTTCTCTGAAATCAATAAAAACATATTTTAGAAAAATTAATTTCAGTAAGACCAAATACAGTCTTCAAGTCAGTTGGTTATATAAAACAAAAAACTTGTTCAGTTGGGAAGTAGAATTAATAGGAATTGGTTAAGCAAATATTTAATCTTTCATAGCTAATTTCATACTTAGTATCTGTGAAACAATTATAAATATTTTAAAATAAATTATATTCCAGAAGTACATTTTTGTCATTATAATATTTTGTAAGCAATCTATGACTACAACCTACATTGACACCTATACATGTTGTTACGTTAATGGAAAAACTTGCAATATAATTTATATGTATTATCATCCATCATTACCTTTATTCTGATGAACTGTTAATGATTTCACTAAAAATGTTCGCTGACATATTTTATTTTTCTACTCACTTCAATAGATTCAGAAGCAATGGCGAGGCTATAAGATTCGGAAATACTGCTTCAATTATTATTGTTTTAAGGCATATCTGAGGGCTATATCTGAGACCAATGATGCAGTTAGGTGAGTACCATAATCACTACTCCACTAGTGAAAATTGTAGGCCAGTTACTCAGCCATAATTAGGAATAATTTCTAAAACTCAGGAATAACTTAGGCAGACAGGTTTTGATAAGATAGGAATGTGATTCTATTTAACTTAAAACTTATTGTACTATATTTAAATATCCTGTATTTCTAACAGTACATTAGATTATATTATGCCTTGGTTCTATGCAAAATAGCTTAGTTTCAATGGAATTGTTTTATTTAAATGAATTTATCTATACAATAAATCCTGTTACCTCTGAAGCCTTAAATATGATAAGTCTCAAGGGTTTTTTGAGAAATATGGTCAATAACAAGGCTTGCCTCTCATAGCAGAAAATAAAATTCCTTGGAGCATAAGGAAATGGGCCACTGTACTGTAAGGTTTTGTTTTGTGTTTGTTTGTTTGTTTTTTAGTATATTTTTACTGATTCCAGAGAGAGGAAGGGAGAGGGAGAGTGAGAGAGAAAATCAATGATGCCAGATAAACATTGATCTGCTGCCTCCTGCACGCCCCCTATTGGGAATCGAGCCCACAACCTAGCATGTGCCCTTGACCGGGAATCCTGGTTCACAGGTTGACACTCAACCACTGAGCAGCATCTGCCAGGGCCATTCATTCACTTTTTGAAAGATTTTACAGTGCTACTCAAAAAAACCATTTATTGTCACTCAACAAGGAATTTTAAGTTAAAGAGTGCTAGATCTTCCGTGTCCTTACATGAAAGTCGTGCGAATCCTAAAAAGTGGCTGTGTGGCAGACTCCCTCAGTGGGCTGTCCTGATATCCCGTTTACTGTTATTGTTGGAACTCCAACGAACATCCCCGTTTATCTATGGTGAATCCGAGCAGTTCGGCAGGACAGAGGAAGAGGCGCGGTTCCATTAAGCGCTAACATATCATTGGCTGTCAGGTGAGCCTTGTTATGCTGTCCATCCTCATTTAACTATCCCACAAGATCTCTTAATGAAGTTAAGCCCCAAGTTCACTGCCGTAATTCTGCGGCAAGAGTTTGTGCAATGTAACAATTCATCACTTGTCAGGGAGGCACTTTTAGTTTATACGTTTAATAAGGGCATCCTCGAGCTTGGTTAATTAGAAGTGAACAGTTTGCATATTTACTAAATGCGGAGTGTCATTGCCACCACGGCCTCTTGCCTGCATGAATTATTTCTCTATCTGCCATAAACAGCTGGGTAATTATTACTGCCATAATCAGATAAATTCCCTCTGTAAGGCTTTTCTTACACGGCAGCTCTTTGAACTCATCCAAAGCCAAACAGAATTTATGAACTCCAGCAGAGAGACCACTTTTTCATATGACCGTGTCCCCGTTCCCGATTTCAAGGACACAGTAGAGCACCGTAGCTTACTGTGAAGCCTGGCCGGTGTGGCTCAGTGGTTGAGCATCCACCTGTGAACCAGGAGGTCACAGTTCCATTCCCGGTCAGGGCACATGCCTGGGTTGTGGGGTTGATTCCCAGTGGGGGGTGTGCAGGAGGCAGCTGATAGATGATACTCTCTCATCATTGATGTTTCTCTCTCTCCCTTTCTCTCTGAAGTCAATAAAAATATATTTTTAAAAAATGAACAAAGAACAGGAGGCTGATTAATAATACCTGCCCCTTACCAACCTCAGGAGAGTGTTGTGAGGAAGGATTAATGTCTGGGGAAGGGCTTGGAGCTCCTGAAGAAATGCACAATGTGTGAATACATGTTGTTATTGTGCCTCTTGTACTTCGTTCAATGTCTTTCTCAATTATTCAACATAATGTATGTTGTATAAAACTAGAGGCCCAGTGCATGAAATCTGTGCACTCAGGCAGGGTAGGAAGAAAGCTCTCAGCCCAGATTGCAAGAGGGTGCAGGTCAGATCAAGGGACTCTCCCCCCCCCCCCCCCCCCAGTGCATGATCGGGGACATGGAGGGATGCAGGAAGGCTCCAGAGTGTGTCTGGCCCATCTCGCTCAGTCCTGAGATGGCCCCGATCCCCAGCAGCAAGCCAACCTACCGGTTGGAATGTCTGCCCCCCTGGAGGTCGGTGCACTTCATAGCAAGAAGTTGAGAGGCCTTAGCATATTAGGCTTTTATTATATAGGGTTTTTACTTCCATTTAGAGAAACTATCCAGAATAGTAAAAAGAAAATAATTTTACAGTGAAATTCGTGCATTTTTTCAGAAATAATACTGCACACAAAAAAAATTCTCCTCGAGGAAGTTTATTCAAAAGAGCAAAAAGGAGGAAAAAAATGATTTTCATGAATGATCTTTTGAATGGAATCTTATTACTTTTTAAAACCATGCAAAGTAGGCAAATGAAATAATGGAGCAATTGGACCATCAGAGTGAAGTCATGGTATGGTAATTTTATATCATGGACCATTATCATCTCTTTCATTTTCTTCATTCTCAAAATGCCTAGACCATGGAGTCCCAGTTCGCTGGTCTCCCCTTGAGAGAGTCCGTCCACCCTTGGCCAGAAAGCCCGGCCACCCCTTCACGTAGATCCCAGGATGACTCAGCACATAGTTCTCATGGTGACTCAGCATGTAGATTCCCATGGTGACTCATTTTACCGAGATGACGGGACAGAAATAGAATTGTGCTGTTCAATAGTTCTGCATACCCCCAGGGAGGGCAGTGAATCAACGAGGAATGCAAGATTGAGTCTTCTCAACAATTGCGTGGATTTTTAAAATTAATTACTTTGTGTTTTGAAATTACCCGGGATTAGTTTTTCCAGTGCTTTCTCAAGTTTTGGATTTGCCTTAGGGGCATGCCAGTTCCTTCTGGGTGGACTGTGCGGGTGGTTTGTGCGTTTGCTTTATATCCTGGTCATTGGCATTCTTTTTCCTATCTCTCGGTTTAAGCCTTCCTGGCCGAGCTCCCCAAGCTTCCTTAGCCCCTGAAGATGGAAGCTACTTCTCATCATTTACAGTTTTGATTTTGTGTCAGGTCCTGTGTAACTTCTCTGTGTCTTACCTGTTCATGCATGTGTTCTTTGTATTGGGCCTTTTTTTTCTTTCTTAGGGCAGATCTCTCCATAGCCATTAAATCATTTGTAACGCACAAACTTCTTTGTAGGTGTGCCGCGTGTGCGTGTGTGTGTGTGTGTGTGTGTGTGTGTGTGTGTGTGTGATTGCTCAGAAAATTACCGTATTTATATTCCGCGGCATATCTGAGTAATTATCCTGGCAGTGGCAGCTCATTGGTTATTTTAAATCACCTTAAAGACTTATAAGAGGAATGATAGAAGAAATATTTCTTTTTACCACAACAGCAAGAGTAAAGATGAAAAATGAATAATCTATTCAGTTTTCTATGTCACATATGCTTGTTATTTTTTTTCCTGGTAAAAAATTCTCATTTATTCATAAGCAACTGCCTTGAAGTGTGTTCCTTAAGGACAAAGAAAGGTCACCTGTCCCTCTACACTCCTGGTTCTTTGTCAAAAATGGACACAGTTAATGAGGTTTGTTTGCTACAGAACCAACTCCCAGACACAGATAGAGATCCTTTCAATGGAAACAGATTTGTTTGGCTCCACCAGGTTACTCAGCGATTAATAACAGCCCCGAGGTGCAGGCCAGGCAGGTCACCGGACCCGCTGGCCAGCAAAGCTAAGCGTAGCAGCCAACCCGGCTCCATGGGGGGCGCAGGAGCCCCCAAATACCGCACAGGATGGCAAGCGGGCTATTTTCTGACTCCTTCTTTCATATTAATAAGCAATTTTCAAGAGAAGTGTGGCAAAATGAGGGCCATGCCACTCCAAGTAATTCATTTATTTTGCAATTTAATCTTATGTTGAAAAAAAAATTGCTCTACTGCAGCAGCATAGCCCGGTGATTTTTAAACGTCAGGCTGTTTCATAAGTAACCTTGTCTGAAGCATTGTGTGAGGGCCCCTCGGCAGGACCTTGCCTCGGGAACATTTCCAGGCATGGAGGGAGGAAGGAGAGTCTTTCCTTCTTGAGGAATTTCCCCCTCTACGTGTTTGAGGTGAAGTCCCAGGGTTCACTTAATATTCTACTGAAATAACTCGACAGGAAGTTACATCTCTATTTTTTTTTTTTTTAAGAATGAAGTCCAATTGCAAAACATGACCTTTATAGGAATAGTTAAACTTACTCTTTTAAAATAAAGGATAGCTCTTCACAGAAGTTATTTGTTTCTTCATGTTGGAGAACATATTCTATTTTGGAGAATTTTTTTTTTTTACATAGCATGTTTTAAAACCTTATTTTTTTGTTTAAACATCTTACAAGCACACACATAAATGATTTAGAAAGTTTTGTCAATTTAAGGGCATTTATTATACTTAGTCACGAACTTGTTCACTTAATTTTTATTCTGATTATATAATTGGACAAAATGTCAACTTTTCAAGCGCATTATAGAAGAAATATAGGATTATATAATATATATAGTGATGTTATATATTATTTGAACTGTAAATGGAAACTGTTAACAGAAATAAAGTTGTAATGAATTAAGCATATGTATAAAATTAGAGCAGTTTGTATAAAAGATAAATTATGAGAGATTTCTAAATAGAAAATTAAAACTTAAAGGACTCAATAGATCAAATCTTTTCTTGGGATATTTAAGTACATCCAAATAGTTCATCTACAACCAAAGAAATTAATGTAGTAATTCACTTACTTTGCCTTTGATATGTTCCTTAACTATTAGATTGATGGTAAGTTATAGATATTTGATTTTAAAAATGTAACCACTGAACAATCACTTTATTTATATTTATTTTTATTTCCTTTTATTTTTTATTTTTTGAACAAACCCTCTAAATGCCTCTTTAAAGATTGCAGGGACCCAGCCAGAGTGAGCAGGTGAGACGGGGCACAAACACCGTCTTGCTTGTCATTAGTGAGAAAATGAAAGTCTCAGCAGACTGTCAGAATCCTGGGTAACCGCTCACTGCTCTGCTGCAGGGAGGCCCTGGACGAGTTTGCAGAGATGAAAGAGAGAGAAGAGAAGAAGGCCGACCTCGAGAGGGAGGAGAGGAAGAGAGATTACGAAGCCAGAAAGATGCATTACCTCCTCAGCACAAAGCAGGTTGGTCTACCTGTCCCTGACAGCTCGTGCGCCGCCGGGGGCCCTGGCTGACAGAGACAAACTAGCAGCCTGGATGGGACATGACTGGGTGAAAGATATCACAAAGACACCACTTCGGGTTCAATTCCCTGCTGCCGGGTAGGTGCTTGCAGGCACCCAGCTCGCCTGCGACAGCAGCTTCCTAGCAGCGGCTGCTGGGATGCCAGCAGGAAGGTACAGGGAGCAGTGTGGTCTCACATCATGATCCCTCCCCCCCCCCCGCCACACACACACACCCAGGGCAAACCCTGCTTTCCAAACCCATCGGGAGCAGCTCACTGTTGTGCTGTGAATTGACCAAGAAACCAAGAACTGGCACATTATTAAGCTGGCATAGCATTCAGGTTTCTTGCATCTTTTCCAAATCCTGGTGCAAGTTTTCAGGGATATATATATATATATATATAAATATCTTACTGATTTTTTATAGAAAGGAAGGGAGAGGGATAGAGAGTTAGAAACATCGATGAGAGAGAATCATCCATCAGCTGCCTCCTGCACACACCCTACTGGGGATGTGCCTGCAACCAAGGTACATGCTCTTGACAGGAATCGAACCTGGGACCTTTCAGTCCACAGGCGACACTCTATCCACTGAGCCAAACCAGTCAGGTCTCAGGGACAGCTTTTAACAGAAGTCCTTCAGCAGTTCCATCTTTACATAGAAAAATAAGTGTGGAAATTGTATACTTAGACATTTCTTTATATATACTTTTATTGATTTCAGAGGGGAAAGAGAGGGAGAAAGAGAGAGAGAGAAACATCAATGATGAGAGGGAACCATTGATAGGCTACCTCCTGCATGCCCCAACTGGGAATTGAGCCCAAAATCTGGGCATGTGCCCTGACAGGAAATCCAACTTTGACCTCCTGGTTCATAGTTTGACACTCAACTTCTGAGACATGCTGGCTCGCCTCCTGTCAGTTTTTACTGTCAATTGATGTAGGTATTTGAAAGGTTACTGAATAAATATTTAAGTGTAAGTAATTTTTATGAGGCATATCAGAATGAGAAATGTTTTATTACCCCACTTAAGAGGATAATTGTAATAACATTTCAGCAAGGAGAGAAACACTATTTGATTGGAAGTAATTTAGAAATGATTTTAATCTAATTGGTAGAAAACTAATTTTATGTTAAACTTTCATAGTCCTAATATAGTTTAACTTAGAGGAGTGGAAACAAAACATTAATTCAGACAAATAACGCTTCTGAAAAGATGGATATTTTTGTAAGCTAAAATTGTATTTGTAAATTCTGACACAGAAAATAAATGAAATCATGTTATTTAATATATCGATCATTTTGGACAATTATGATGATATACTGACAAACTCGTACTGATAGCACAGTTTTAAAGTCAGTTTTAAGCTCATTTTCAGTACAAACCTAATGTATGTCTTAAAAGTTCTAAAATCTAATTTTTACTGATATTATCTCATCTTTATGTAAGCAAATATGTTAGCACAAATAGAAATCACACAACTAAACTAATATTACAGTGAGTGAATTGATAGACCCCCTCCGGCATTTATTAATTAAAAAGTTCAAGTCATATTAAAGCACCTTCTGTATATGTTTATTTCAATCAGAAAGCTGAATGTGGTAACTTATTTGCATAAATAATCAATCACGATTTACAAGTAGTAATAAGGTTAATTTGTTGCTACAGACATAACAGGATTAGTCAATTATATTTCCTACAAAATGCTATTTGCTATGCACCCCATTACCTGGAAAACAGGATTGGGTTTGGCGCCCTTATTAAATGAACACATCAAAAAAGTCTTCATCCCTATAAAAGTTCTATGAAAAGAAAGCTACTTTTAGTTGATTTGAATAAGCAAAATGCGGACATTGCCTCCATTTGGAAATTTAATTTATCTTTCTGCAAAGATTGATTATTTAATAAAGTTATTTATTTTGATTCACTAACCAGTCAAACTAAATCTAACACAAACAGGACATATTCCCTTTGAAGAAAATCTCATTTGCAGATTTGTTTTATTCCTCATAAACTGACTTTCATCCCCTTGTCCTTGTTCTTGGTAATAAATTATGTTGTCTGCGCCACCTACTGGTGGACCCAGGCAAAGGCCCATTGTTGGGCTCCTGGGAAGATGCTTCCTCTAAAATTTGCCCGAGTTTTTAAAGAGCCTCCTGGAGAGATCAGCAAAGTGGCAGAAACAAAAGTGAGACTTGAGGTTAAATCACACATAGTTAGTCTTTAGAAATACAGGCTACAAGAAGAATCTAGGGCTACATTCTTCTCAGTAGGGCTACAAAGGAAGTGGTGTTCCAGAAGAGAAGGGAGCTTCAATTATAATAATTAAAAAAAAAAAAAATAGAGAGTGTGTTTATCGAAAAGTTTGGGGGGCATCGGGAAGTTGTTGGGCATGGATGAGAGACAGGTTACATGGGCAAGATTGAAAAGATTGCCAACAGGGCATCAGAAGTGTTGGGGAAGTAAGCAGGGGATGAGGATGAGAACCAAAGAAGAGTGTGACTGACTAGTTACCAAGTTAATTGGGCATAAGCAGTCTGACCAAGAAGCAAACAGTTAAGTACTTGCTCTACCACTTGTTCCTATTGCTGAGAAATGTTAAGTAGCTGTGCCTATTCCTTATTTCAATGATTATAGTGATGATTTAATAAACCTAAAATGAATTCTGGATTTAAAAGTTCAAGGGAAGCACTATTTCCTCAGATTTTGAAACCTAAAAAAAAAAAAAAAATTAAAAACTTGTGAAACAACTCAAAAGCCAGAAATCAAACTATGATCCATTTTACTCCAAATCAGCTTTTTTAAATCAAAATACTAAAGGCCCAGTGTACAAAATCCGTGCACTCAGGGTCAGGGAGAGTTCCCTCAGCCGGACCTGCGCCCTCTTGCAGTCGGAAGCCCCCAAGGGATGTCCGACTGATAGCTTAGGCCCGCTTTTCCCCATCATGGGGATGAGAGCAAAGTGCAAACATCCTAGTCACTCAGTTCAGTTGTCCCCAAGTGGCATGTGTAATCTGGACCAAATAGGTACTAATCAATAATTTCCATTCAAGAAGCCACAGGTTCATAGCACAAAGACCGTGAGAGCCCCCAGCCATTGGAAAGTCACGTGGTCTTTATTCTCACACCCGAGACTGGCCAGCCCATGAGACAGGCAGTCCTTGTGCTTTGACACCCCCTAATGGCTTCTTCCTGTTCCCTTAAAAAAAAAAAAAAAAAAAAAAAAAAAAAAAAAAAACATTCAAAAACACATGGGAAATCAGCTTCTTGCAGAGCCCCTGTAACCCTGGGACTAGACTGTGACAAATGCCCCCTTCTGTTGCTACATTTTCTTCCACAAAAGAAAACTTCCATCCAGTGGCCTGTTTCTGCAATGCTAAGCATATCTCTTTCCGCCATGAATTGTCCTGGAAGTCATCTTTTAAACCCTACGCTGAAATCGTTTTCCAATCCAACACCCGGGGAAGGGACCAGGCAAGAGAAAGAGCCAGGCATCCAGGGGAGGAAAAGGTGTCGAGCGGAAGGCTTTCTGGGGGGAGGGCGGTCATAAACATACTTTGCTGCTTTCCTTCTCTTTTCCTGAGAGCACACGGGCTTCATTCGTATGTAATAAGCCAGTTTGGAGTGAGTGGAAATTGTGCAGAGAGGAGTTACAACACGGAGTTCTCAGATCACTGGGGATGGAACTGGAGCTCCCTCCGACTGCTCTACTGGAAGTACCTCCTCTCCAGGTTGCCCAGGAATCTCCTGGTTAGAATCCAGGGGGGTCTCGGGGAGGATTGGCACCTGGTTGATCACTCCTGTAGTCAGACCCCCAGTGGCCTTGATGACGCTCTGTGGTCCTTTCTTTCTTCTCATTCTCCTTCAGTAACTCTTGTGAATCTTGTTCACTGTGATTCCACGTGGGGCTACTTACACTGAATGGCCAGATTACTATGATCTCTGAACGCATGATAATCTGGCCACTGGGTATATATTAGAGGCCCAGTGCATGAATTCGTGCCTGGGTGTGGGTCTGGCCAGCCTGGCCAGGGGGAAGGGACATGGGCGGTTGGCCAGCCTGCCTGCTGGTTGAACTCCTGGTCAAGGGGACAAATTTGCCTATTAGCCTTTTATTATATAGGATACATCCTGAGTGGCCAGATTACTATGTGTTCAGAGATCATCATAATCTGGCCACTCAGTGTATAGTCCATCACATCAGTAATTTAAAGCTTTCTGTTTCTTTGCTCATCTCCTCGATGTTTTCTGGAAAGGTCTTCCTCCACCTCACAGGACAGACAGATCCCTTCTCTGCCTTCTGACTCTGCCAAGTACCAGGAATGTGTCAGTGCGGGGATGTGTCAGTGCGGGGATGTGTCTTCCGTGGTTGAGACTATCTGTGCACTAGTGAGGATGTGCGTCACTTGGACACACACTAAGCCAAGGCAGATCTGGGAGGCTGTCAGGGTAGCAGAAGGAGCCTGGGGACAGAGCAGCCGCACTGGGGCCGGGGGACAGGCCTGAGGAAGTTACATAAGCAAGAAAACAATTGCAAATCTTGGCGGCAAAGGGAAGCTGTTGAACACGGATGGGAAACAAGTTACACAGGCAGGATCGGCGTGACTCAGTGGTTGAGTGTCCACCCATGAACCCAGAGGTCATGGTTGGATTCCCAGCCAGGACACATGCCTATGTTTTGAGCTCTCCCACCCCAGTAAGGGGGTATGTAGGAGGCAGCCGATCCATGATTCTCTCTCACCCTTGATGCCTCTATCTCTCTACCTCTCCCTTCCTCTCTGAAATCAATAAAAATATTTATTTTTTAAAAAGAAGAAAGAAAACAAGGGACTTCTGTCTAGTTCTTGGAGGGAATCACAGATGCAGATACAGAGGCCACGGGATTGATTTGTGGGGAAGGTTTCCCCGAGAGTGTCATGGGCAGTGTTTCTCAGCAAACCCTTCCCCACGCAGATA